TTTACACCTGAATTTTACACCGAAATCTTCAACCAAAATTTCACACCTGAATTTTACACCTGCATTTACAACCAAAATTTTCAACCTGAATTTTACACCCAAATATTCATCGAGAATATTACAGCCGAGTTTTACACCCAAATTTTCAGCCAAAATTTAAATCTGAATTTACACCCAAATTTTCAACTAAAATTTTGCAGCTGAGTTTTACACCCAAATCTTCAACCAAAATTTTACACCTGAATTTTACACCTAAATTTACAACCATAATTTTCAACTTGAATTTTACACCCAAATATTTATCCAAATTATTACCCTGAACTTTACACTGAAATCTTCAACCAAAATTTTACACCTGAATTTTGCACCTAAATTTACAACCGAACTTTTGAAGCTGATTTTAAGCCCAAATCTTCAAACAAAATCTTAAACCTGAATTCTACACCAAATCTTCATCCAAAATTTTACATTTTCAACCTGAACTTTACGCTTAAATTTTCAACCAAAATTTTACTGCTGAGTTTTACACCCAAATCTTCAAACAAAATTTTACACCTGAATTTTACATTCAAATCTTCAACCAAAATTTTACACCTAAACTTTGGCCCAAAATGTTACACCTGAATTTTACACCTAAAATTTACAACGAAAATTTTCAACCTGAATTTCACACCCAAATATTTATCCAAAATATTACACCTGAATTTTACACCTAAATCTTCAACCAAAATTTTACAACTGAATTTTGCACCTAAATTTACAACCGAACTTTTCAAGATGAATTTTAAGCCCAAATCTTCAACCAAAATTTTAAAACTGAATTCTACACCCCAATCTTCATCCAAAATTTTACACCTAAATTTAGAACCAAAATTTTCAGCCAGAATTTAGGCTTAAATTTTCATCCAAAATTTTAAACCTGGATTTTACACCCACATCTTCAATCAAAATTTTAGACTTGTATTTTAAACCCAAATCTTCTACCAAAATTTTAAACCTGAATTTTGCACCCAAATTTCCAAGCAAATTTTACACCTGAATTTTGCTCCTAAATGTACAACCGAACTTTTCAAGACGAATATTAAGCCCAAATCTTCAACCAAAATATTAAACCTGAATTCTACACCCCAATCTTCATCCAAAATTTTAAACCTAAGTTTTAAACCAAAATTTTCAACCTGAATTTTTGCGCTTAAATTGTCAACCAAAATTTTACACGTGAATTTTACACCTAAATCTTCAACCAAAATTTTAAACCTGTATTTTACACCCAAATTTTCAACTAAAATTTTACAGCTGAGTTTTAAACCCAAATCTTCAACCAAAATTTTAGACCTGAATTTTACATTCAAATCTTCAACCAATATTTTACACCTAAACTTTCACCCAAAATTTTACACCTGAATTTTACTCCTCAACTTACAACCAAAATTTTCAACTTGAATTTTACACCCAAATATTTATCCAAATTATTACACCTGTTTACACCCTGTATTTTACACCCAAATCTTCTACCAAAGTTTTAAACCTGAATTATGCACCCAAATCTTCAACCAAATTTTACACCTGAATTTTACACACAAATTTTCATCCAAAATTTTACACCTTTTCACACCTGAATTTTACACGTAAATTTTCATCCAAAATTTTACACCTGAAATTTATACCGAAATCTTCAACCAAAACTTTACACCTGAATTTTAACACTTAAATTTACAACCAAAATTTTCAACCTGAATTTTACACCCAAATATTTATAATTTTACACCCAAATATTTATCCAAAATATTACACCTGAATTTTACACCTAAATTTTCATCCAAAATTTTACACCTGAATTTTACACCGAAATCTTCAACCAAAATTTCACACAAACCACCATGTTGTTGGTTAGCAGTATTGATTCATTCCAGAAAACATCCATACCACCCCCACAGAGGAAATATGAATTTTAACACTTAAATTTACAACCAAAATTTTCAACCTGAATTTTACACCCAAATATTTATCCAAAATATTACACCTGAATTTTACACCTAAATTTTCATCCAAAATTTTACACCTGAATTTTACACCGAAATCTTCAACCAAAATTTCACACAAACCACCATGTTGTTGGTTAGCAGTATTGATTCATTCCAGAAAACATCCATACCACCCCCACAGAGGAAATAGGAAGTTAACCCCTCTACCCCTTTGGATGTCCTAATACATTTACTATTAACAGAAACAATTTTTCCTCCCCCCCCCTCCTACGGACAGCAGAAATTTCCTCCATGGGGGGAGTACGGATCTTTTCTGGAACGAACAATTGCTGATAAAGAGTTTTTTTAATTGATCCATTGAGTGGCAGTACTCTACCACTGACAAGGAAAATCGGCTGGTGTTCGACCGAGTAAAAGAATAAAGTAGGGCGAATTGCCAGTTAATGGGTTAACACATTGGCCATTGAGTGGCAGCACTCTCCCCTTGACACGTAACATCATCTTGTGTTAAGTATTGACAGTATTAACACTCAGGAATTTACAGCACTTATTAGATGAATGGTTTTTTTATTTAGGGTGTGACAGATAGTGATTCTAGTGAAAGGTAAGCATGACCTTTTTAATGCTTGATCATCCTAATATGTGTTGTCATTGTGTGTTTATTTCCTGTGTAATTTTGAATTGTGCATACAGTGTATTATTTTGCTTGTGTATGTGCTTATCACACACAAGGTAGACAATAAGTCGGACACACTTTTTGAATCCAATGTTATAATGTAGTCAGTAAAAAATTAAAAGAGTCTCCTACTGACCCTAATTTTTGGAGATATTTTTGGAAACCGGAAATAAACATTTTTGTGGGCCTTAATTCCTTAAAATTAAATAATAACTAAGAATTCAAATGGGAAATATAGTCTTTATTTATAATTGTTTATCTTGTAGAGCTCAGAACCTTCCAAGGCAAGCTGGTAGACCAAGGAAAGAAATCAACAGGAATGTATTGGAGAACCTACTTCAATTGAGAATCCCAGTTGTGCAAATTGCAAAACGACTTGAGGTGTCCAGAAGTGTTGTGTATAAGGCAATGAATGAGTATGGAATAAATTATGAAAGATTCTCAGGACTTACCCAAACTGAGGTTGAGATTGAAGTGGAATCTGTAAAGAACAGCCACCCAAATTCAGGCGAAGTCATGGTCCAGGGTCATCTAACATGTAAAGGAATTCACGTGCAACGGGAAAAGGTTAGGAAGGCGATCCGTGCTGTTGACCCTGAAGGTGTTGAAAATAGAAAGCAGAAGCCTATCAAGAGACGGGTGTACACAAATCCTTTTCCTAACTATGTTTGGCACATAGACGGAAACCACAAACTTATAAGATGGAGACTAGTAATTCACCACGGCATCGATGGATTCAGTCGATTGGTAGTCTTTGCCCAATGCTCATCCAACAATCGTGCAGAAACCGTCCACACCCTTTTTTTGCAGGCTCTTCCGAAATACGGGCGGCCACATAGGATTCGGACTGACCATGGAGGTGAAAACGTCGACATATGGAGAGATATGGTTGCAACTCGAGGTGAAGCAATCAAGCCGGTCCTCGTTGGAAAGTCTGTACACAACCAGCGCATTGAGAGGCACAACCGTGCTCTGAATGAGCAAGTGTTATCAACATTTAGAGGAGAGTTTTATCAGCTTGAGAGCGAGGGTGTTCTTGATATTAATAATGATACAGATATTTTCTGTCTTCATTGTGTTTATATTCCACGTGTTAATAAAGCCATCAGCAAATTTGTTGCAGCTCATAACAATTACAGAATTTCAACAGAGAATAATAGAACACCAGAACAATTATTTTGGTGCAATATAAGGTCCGCAGATTATGACGAAGGTGTTCTACCAGAGCATGCCAACCAACCTAATGTGGAAGAATTAGGGACGGCACGAAACTCTAGGAACATGTTATGTGATTGGTTGATTATGACAATGACAAAATAATAAGCTAAGGAATGGATTTTCTAAAGAACGAAGCAAGAACAATATTTCCTTTGTTCCGTAAACCAATTACGTTTTGTGTGGTTGTTGCCATCAACCAGTCACAGAAAATCTTCCTAGAGGTTCGTGTTTACTGGTGAATTACAGTGTGATT